TATATATGGGTTGCGTGTATAAGTCCCTCTGCATTTCCTTCTACTGGAATCTTCTTCTTCCTGGTGGGGCCACGCATCTCGTCTATAAACAACTTTAGTCCGATTTATTTCGTGTTTTTGGATCGAGGTGCTACCATGTTTACGATGCTCGTAGGTCACAATCGGCACAACCGGAGCCCAGAGCTTCAACAAATTTGCAACACATACACGTCCGGGTACAACCCAAAGTGTTTGCCTTTCTCAAGACACACCTCCAACCAGCTCTACAATTCTTTAGTCAACAACCTATTTAGTATAGTACGATCTCTATGATTGGCACCGATACCATTGACGATATAACCACATCCAACACACACAACAAGCTCATTTTTGGGAAGATCTCAAATAGAAATTTGTAGCGGCAGGGATCCCTTAGCAGCTCGTCACACCATTGACTTTATGGCTAGCGTCTTGGCCGCTGATGTAATTTAACGCGTTATCAGTACTATCTTGGGCATCAAACAAGGGTTTTTTTAAAAAAATCTTACGCTCAAGGCGCGAGCTCTAATCCCTACTTTCCACGACCGCTTCTTCAACGGGGACCCATCGGTGGCTGGAAGTGCAACAACATAAATGACTCAATTTTTACAACTACTATTTATGTTCAAGTCATCATGGTCCTGGAATGACATCAAAATCTGTCATTCCGTTTGCATGATTCCTTAGAACTTTTACAGCAGAAGGGTATAAACGTGAAGAATAGATCTTTCTAATCACCTGTTCTCGTCGCGGCCCACCCTACCCATTTTTCATCTGTTCTCCTCGCACAAGCAAGTATCAGCAGCGGTCGTCACGGTTGAACACGAGCCGACAGATCGATCTCCGTTCGTACTTGTATACGACACTACGTCGCAATAAAAAATATATCCTCCCTAAAGGATCAGAGTACGGTACTTTGTTAGAAAAAGTCAATGTGACACACAACCACATTGTCGTGTTGTAAAGTCTAAATATTTTAAAATAAAACAATTTAAAAAAACAACATAAATGATGTTTGTCTCAGTTCTCGTCTTGGTATTATTTTTCAAAATATGTACATTTTTAATACTAAAATAAAAGGCATTCCGTAGCCAGTGAGCTTGTAGTCTAAATAAAAATTAAATAAACGCAAACGTGTGTTTTTCCGTTTATATTCGGTTTAACGTTTTATTTCTTCTAAATCAAACTTCAGGGGGCCCTGTCAGGCTGTACGGCGTACGCCCCGATGTCTTGTTCATTAAAAGCACAGTGCTAGTTTTCCTTTCTTATAGAAGGGAGTCTGGTTGTGTTTCTCTGAGACCGTGTGCGGTATATTTGTGTGGTGTATTGGCGAGAGCTACATCTACCAATTTACGATTGAATAAACCGTTTGTTCATAATCTGCACGACCGTGCGGCTGCAAGCATGCGACAGGCGTGACTGTCAAGGTATTCATCCCAGGAATTACAGACTATTTATAACGCCGTCCGAGTGTAGTTTGTTTGAGCCGGAAAATGCATTCAATTCCTGGATAGGCCACTAGGTGTGTTCTCAAGTCCGCTGGATATGTAGTGGAATTAGATGTTCTCTTTCAAGTTCGCTTGGCAGATTCTGCTTTTAGATCATATACTTAAACAGCGGCCCTATATATAACCCCAGGAGAGCACAAACAGTGTTATAGCCATCGCGGCACACAGTATCAGGGTTCCAGTGATAGCCTGAACGACCACGTTATTCCCACACATATACTTCGAGACAATCGACGGCTTCTTGTCGATCACCTTCACCACCTTGCTAGACACTATGCTCACTCTAGACGACATCGTGCTGAGGTCGAAATTAGGACTATCAAAGTCTTCATCCACGAACTCCGATACTTCAGTTCCTATGGATCCTTCACCTTCCGAGTTTTCTGCTCTTGGTGGCGCCTCTTGGAAGCTGAAGGATCGATTTCTTCGTGGACCTCCTTTTGCGTTGGTGTCCACCATGAGAGAGGTCCTGTTTGCGGACGCGGGTATGCCCAAATTGACATTTTCAGAGTTTTCTAGTGAGTTATTCATATTGTACGAGGTGTATTGAAACAATTCTAGAGAGTATTGCTGATGAACTGTACTGCAAACTAAAAGCAGGTTGCTTGTTGATGCAATCGCGTAAATCTCAAAAAAAAATATACATGTAAATACAAACTCTCCACTCTCTCTAATATAAAGAGAATAAAAAAATATTCCGCTGCGGCGCCGTTTATTTCATGTTTTTATATATATTTATTATATATAGAAGAAAAAAAATGTAAGTTTACATACGTTGTTAGGTCATATATATTTCTTCGGTTTGCAAAGAGTTGCACCCCACCAGTATAATCTTTTGATGCGTATTGATCGCTGAACTCAAATCAAAAGCCTTAAATAGTTTGAAAAGCAATCGTTTTATAGATAACTAACTGTATGCCAACCCAGTGACCATCTCTGAGAGTATTGAATCATGTAAATCTTGGTTCTGATTGATGGATTAGATACCTTACAGTATTCATTTTAACAATCTTGTGCCGCCACAATCGTTTGGTTAATTGTCTGCTACCACGCCTGACGATGAAACATTTTTAGAAATATATCGAAGAAAAAAAGTTGAGCACCTCGCAACCCGCCCCAGCAGGAATCTCTCATCACAGCAGATTCTCTTTCGCTTTGTTGAAATTTGAAAACAAAACAAAAATAGGAGGAATCTAAACTTGAATACTTTGAATTTGAGCGTATGTATTGATCTGTGACGAATACCACATACATATAGCAGTACGCTTACACACATATAGGCAAAGCCGTGGGTATCACAGTGATATTTAAAGGGCGTGTACGGTTATATTCTTTGCACACACCTGTATCACTTGTTGTATGGCACAAAACCAACTCAGAAAAAAAGCAACATAGTTTTAGTTTTGGCAACTTACTCACGATGTTGACCAAATTTGAAACAAAGTCCGCCCGTGTCAAGGGCATGGCTTTCCATCCTACACGTCCTTGGATTCTCGCATCTCTACACAATGGTATAATTCAGATTTGGGATTACCGAATGGGTACACTGATCGATCGATTCGACGAGCACGATGGTAAGTAGTGTTATATAGTGTTACACCATTTTTTTTGATACTGTCCGTTCAGGCTCTTTTGCATCTATGACCCAAACAAATGTTCAAGACTATGTTTCAGTAGCTTCGATGACAAGATTATGGTTGCGGAAACCTGACGTACATATAGTTGCGCAAGCTGTCTTCTATCTTACATCCTGAGTAAGAGACTAAGCCCGAAGTACACACACACACACCCACGCACACACACCCACACCCACCACACACATATACACACGTGTACACACACACATACACATACACGCGACGCGCACACACACACACACACACACAC